GGGGAGGCATCGAGGCGCGATATGCTGCGGCAGGCATATCTGGGACCGCAACACTCACCAGCCTCCAAGCTTCAAGTGCCGCGGCTCAGTCGCGACTGGCCCAGTATGGTGGGCAACTTCCTGCTGCTCAGCCTCAGCCAGCTCGACCGTGGACACCAACCGAGTCCCCGGACCAGCATCCCTTCGGTCCTCCAACCGTGTATCAGGGATCAGATGTGGTAACAAGCCCAACGCCACCACAGCAGCAGTCCTTCAACCTTCCCCCAAACCCCAGCTCAGCTAGTCCGGCACCGGCGGGGACCAGCTTGCAGGTGAGCGTCCTGGAGCAGGACTTCCAACGCATGCAAGCTTCTACGCCCCCTCCCGCCTATACCAGCGTCAACCTCAGCTCCGGTTCGGCCTATCCGGCCGAGAAGCAACGCCCAGCTCAGCAAAACTCGAGCTCTAACGCCAATCCCAATGCGGCCCAAAAACCAGCTGCTGCCACCTCCTCAACTCCCCAGCTGGGTCAGCATCCTGCTCTGGCCAACTCATCGCCGGCACAAGCACAAAAGCCAAAGCCGGTTGCGGCGGCTGCGATTCTGTCTCCGACGCAATCGCAACATTCTGGGCACCCAGCATTTGCCAACGAGTCCAAGCAAGATATCCCACAATCTACGCAAAACGGACAAGCCGGGCCGGGACTGACGCACACTCCATCACTTCTTGCGGCTGCGACATCACCACCGCCTTTGCCGGAAGGATGGATCGCCCACTTGGACCAGAATTCTGGCCAGTACTATTACATCCACCTTGCTACTCAGGCTACGCAGTGGGAGTTCCCGAAGGGGCCCAATCCGATCCATCACGAATCTGCGCCTTTGTCGCCGACGGCGTCGACATATGGCAACCCTCTCGCCTCCCCGCTCCTTGGCGGCGGCAAGGCAGGACTCAACTCCCCAATGTTCCATCCACAAACTCCTGGCTATGCCGAGAGTATTATGAGCGTTGCGGCATCCGCGGCCCCTTCAACTGCGGGATTCACTGGTCCACCTCCGAGCGCAGGCGTCGATGTATACAAGGTCATGCCAACAAATGGCGTGTACTTCGGCCCCTACCTACGCTACGTGAACATGGATTTGGAGAAGGGCATCTGGCACGGAAGCATACTGATTGTCACCGACGCACCGCAGCCGCCAACGATCCACATCCACCTCAGCATGGATCTGTCCCCGAACCCCCGCCAGCTCATCCCCAACAACATCTATACACATCAAAGGTGGTCATTCTACAAGTATGACCTAGACCTTCAGATGAACGAACAAGGCAGCGAACGGTGGACATATGCCGTGACATCTCATCTTGGATGTACCCGGTACGAGTTCGTCGTGGCTGGGCGTTCCGAAACAGGCTGGCGCATGATTGCACACTCGGGCAACGACTTTGCACCTGGAACCAACCAGAACGAAAGGGCTAAGCTTGGCGGTGTTGGCTTCATGTGGAAAGATATCCTGCAGAAGAACGTCGAGTGCGGCGGTTTCCACGTCCAACTTGGACTTGGCGATCAGATATATGGGGACCGGCTATGGAAAGAAGTGCCGCTGCTGAGACAATGGCTTGCCATGCCGGGCAGGGAAAACCGCAAGAGCGCGCCGTGGACAGCAAGGCACGAGGAGGACGTCTCACACGCCTATTTCCACTACTACACAAGTCACTTTGACCAGCCGTTTATGCGGGAAGCCTTTGCTCAGATTCCTCATGTTTTGCAAATTGACGACCACGACATGTAAGCTTTGAGAGGCCCCTCCGTTTTCAGGCTGCTGTATACTAACCACTTCTCTGAAGTTTTGATGGCTTCGGCTCATATCCAGACTACATGCAGTCTTCGGCAATATTTAAGAACATTGGCCGTATCGCCATTGAGATGTATCTGCTCTTTCAACACCACACAACCGTTGAAATCCTGCGGAACGTCAGCTCAGACATCGACCTGTTCACCATAACAGGATCCGGATGGCATTTCGTCAAGTACCTCGGGCCTGCGGTGGTGGTTGTCGGTCCTGATTGTCGATCCGAAAGAACCCAAACGCGTGTCATGGCTGGGCCAACATACCAGGGCATTTTCCCCAAGGTTGCCACATTGCCGCCGAGCGTGCAGCACTGTATTTGGATGCTCTCGGTGCCCGTCGTATATCCTCGTCTCGAGACGGTGGAGACGCTGGCCAACACGTTCGCGACGGGCAAGAAGGCCGTCAACACAACATACAACATCCTCGGCAAGGTAACAAGTTCGATGGCTGGCGTTGTTGGTGGCAAGGAGATGGTGCAGCATGGATTCAAAGAAGTCAAGAAGGCGGTTGGAAAGTCCGGGCTCATGGGCAATGTGCTCAACCAATTTGGCGAGTTTGATATTGCCGAAGAGCTAAAGGACCTCTGGACACACGAGTCCAAGGATCTGGAGCGGACATATTTGATTCGGACGCTGCAAGGAATTGCCAAGCAGAAGGGCATCCGGATGACGTTCTTGTCAGGAGGTGAGTTCTCACATCCCCTAGCTCCTCTGCTACTTTCTGGACCGAGACTGACATGGTATTCAGACGTCAACTGCAGCGGTGCAGGCCTAGTGCACGACCCCTCGCACCCGAGCGACCACAAGACCATGTACCAGGTCATTGCCAGCCCCGTCGTGGCGGCGCCGGCCAGCAACTACCTACTCAAGATGCTTCACAACAATAAGCTGCTGTACGTGCCACTCAACGGAACCAAGTCGACGCATGAGGTGAGCGATACCAAGGAGGACATGATGGAAATCTTCCACACGGACGCCTCGGGCGCCGCCCGCGAGCACAAGAAGCTCATGGCCCGCCGCAACTACGTGGCCATTGTCGCGTACGATCCGGACAACATGGCCGGGGGCGGCCAGCAGCACTACGCGGCCAGCGTCGCAAGCGGTCACTCGGGTGGGCTGAGCAAGTTGAGTCTGGCGGTCGACTTCGTCGTGCAGGGTGATGGGGCGTTCACGGCGACAACGAAGTACGGGCCGGTGATTGTGCCGCACTTGGAGTTTGGCCACTAAGTGATGGGAGGGAGAGCCTGGCTGCGTATGAGGACACGGACGGCTAAGGAGGTGTCTGTCTATTTGAACCGCAAGTTGCTTCCTTGGGGTCCCCAGCGTGAAGGGGGTTAGATGACGAGATGTTTTGGATGAGACGAAGACTTTGAGCGATGTCTGTTCTTTAGTTTTACTTCTTTTGGGTATTTGGTTTTAAGAAACTTATACTACCTACTTTAGCGAGGATGGATCAATCCGTTATATGAAGATTTTTACGCAAAGGGGGGTATAAATGTGGATGGTGGCTGTGTGTGTGCTCTTAACAGGTGGTTCTTAGCATGGGGACATGAATAACATTCGAAACTAGCCATTAAAAATGAACTCGGAACTGATGGTATACGACACGACATTTCCGACTTCAGCTAGTCCTCGCCTCTTCAACGCGCCATCTACCAGCGCGCATATCGATCGTCGAGGCTTTTCCGTCTGTTGGCCTCCTCCAGCAGTTTTATTATTTTATATTTGCCCTCTTCCGGTCCCTCGTACTAGAGCCTAAACAGCTCCTTGACCTGGCGGAACGTGTCGTCGGGGTTGAGCACCGTGTGGCCGACGGTGCGCGGGTCGTCGTACAGCTCATAGTCGTTGCCGCCGGGCGCCGTCTTGTCGCCGAAGAAGTGCACTGTCGTGTAGGCGATGCCGTCGGGCTTCTTGGCCTCGTCCTCGAGGTGGCGCAGGCAGTACGTCTTGTCCCAGCCCGTGGGGAAGACGTCAAAGGAGATTTGCCCGCCGATGGAGAAGCTGTGGGTTGGGTTGGGTTGGGTTAGTTTTGGGGAGTGGAATTGGGGAGAGGGAGAGACTTACGTGAGGCCCAGGTGGCCGAACTTCTCCTTGAGCTTGGAGATGAAGGTGGCACGGATGCCGTGCGCCAGGTCGAACTTCTCGTACTCGAGGCGCTCGGCGTTGCTCGCGTTGCGCCCGATGGGCGAGATGTTGACCATGCCGTTGCGGAACTCGACGAAGGTGCCGCGCTTGATGGGCAGCTCCAGGTCCGCGATGTAGTGCAGCACGAACCGCACCAACTCCTTGTACTGCTCCTCGCCAATGTACTTGATGAAGCTCGTCGACGCCAGCGGCGCCCCCAGCTTGTACGCCGTCAGCCCGTTCTCCGAGAAGCAGAAGTCGAAGAGCGTCGTCACGTCGACGCCTCCGAGTCCTAGCTGCTCCTGCTGCTTGACGAAGTTGCTGCCGCCGACGAAGCCGATAGCGCACTTTTGCCGCAGCCGCGCCAGCAGGTCCAGCATCTCGGGAGTGACATCCTGGCGGGGAAAGGTGTTAGTGCGGAGGCCGTGTCAGTGGTGCCCAACCGGGGTTGGGAAGGCGGGGAGAAGACGTACTCCGCGGGCAGGTGTGAGGGTGCCGTCGACGTCGAACAGGGCGATGGTGTTCTCGAGCTCGCGCTCGGCGAGAGGAGGGTACGTGGCCATTATTGCGACTTATAGGTGGTGGTGCGACTAGTCTGTGGTCTGCGCGGTTGCTGGGCTGGGCCCCGAGTTTAAATAACCGGGACAAGGGTAGACCCAATGCCAACTTGCCAAGGGAACGGGGCAGGGAGAAAGCCACCAAACAGAGCAGCAGCGCTTCAAGACAGGTGGGATGAAAGTCAAGCGGGGGCACGAGTAACAGCAGTCGAGACTCAAAGTGACCAAGTTACGGTGAAGGCCAGTGTGGTGCTTGTTTGTGCCCCACGTTTTGGAGGGGAGCACAAAGGAGGGGCCGCTGATTCACAAGGCCTCAACTGGCATCTGCCAATCCTCTGCCCCACCACCCTCCAAGCTGCCAAGGAGATCTGCCAGGGGTACCCCAATCTTGTCAAGGACAACCCACCACCACTCCAACTGACCCCGTACAAAAAGACATCAAAAGTGCAAAAAAGCAAGCCACCAGACGGATATCTGGGGCTGGATGAATATGGACGAGCTGGGAATTGAACCCAGGACCTTTCACAAATGCGAACGCTGAAGTTGCAAAGCGAACATTATACCCCTAAACCACACGCCCTGTCATTGGTTGATGGACAGGAGGCGCTCAACCTGCCACTTACACACACGCCCTGGTTTGCCGTTCGACCTGACTAAGTTCCCGCCCTTTCCTTACTTGAGAATGGCGTGTCAACTTCGAGTTGAGTTTCGCGGGCGGGCTAGCAGAGACGAAACCAGGTACGCGTTTCCACAGGACGGGATCGCCAGCTAAGGTCGGCCGGCAGTGGCCAAACAACAGACACGGTGTCGGGGATCTCGCCGCAATGACGACCGATGAGTTTATTCTTGGGGCTCTTGTATTTCCCGCTCCCATCGAATTTCAGTCCAGACATCACAACAGTTATCCCATTTGTTGACTCTGCATTTTATTCCAAATCATTTTGCCCGCCAGCAGGTTGGGGGTTGAAGGAGACGCCCCTCCACTGTAGCCATGAACAACAAGTGCCATTGTTGCAGTGTCTTTTTTGTTTCTTCTCTTCCAAAGCCTTTGCTCTGGGATATCAGCTCTTTGGGGCCTTTTCAGGATCACACCAGCAACAGAAGCGATCCTTTGGATAGATAGTGTCTGCCGCATTGGCAATGGGTTCTGTCTTTGGAGATCTCGGCATCGCATTTATCGCATTTGACTTTGAGATTTTGGTCCCTTCGGCTAGTTGGCCGAAGTAGCATCATGCTGATGAGCTCAGTCAAGAAGGCTTGGAGTGAGATTCTGTTGGCTTCAGAAAAGAAAATATCCCGCAGTCTAGGAGAGAATGCTTTCATTAGGAGATCTCTCGAGAAGTCAAGTGATGACTCGGCGACGACGTTACGCAACATTTTGGCGGCGTTGACGTACGAGAGGATGACGTACGAGAGGATGACGTACGAGAGGATGACGTACGAGAGGATGACGTACGAGAGGATGAAATGCGAGAGCGGGGATGGCGACCATCCTGGGGGCGAGGGCAAAAGTGGTGAGCAGGATGGCAATCCCCATGGTTCTAGTGTAGAGGGGGAAGGTGACGATTGGGACGAAGAGTTTTGGGGGGTTGGGGATGAAGAAGAGGAAATCGGCGAGGAGGAGAAAGATGTCGACGAGGAGAAGAAAGATGGCGAGGAGGAGAGAGATGGCAGAGCTTCTGGGAAATTGTGTTCGGGCGGCAGGATACCGTAACGGAGGTGTGCATGGTCGGTGATATCAACGACGACAGTGGCATCATCAAAGAGGGATCACCCGAATATCGAGATATAGCCAAGCAAGTGACATCACATCAAGTGCTTCTCCCTAGGCTACCCCCAGATGATCCCAGGTACATTGGCCCTTTTCTCTGTGACATTGGCCGATTATCCCATTCTAGGCGAGTTATATTCACTTCACGATACAAAAGGACACAGCCCGTCGTTATAGATGTCGAACCACATATCAAACCGCCCTTCGGGTTATTGACTCCTATAATTACTTTAAGCCTATGGGATATATGTACACTTTGTTCTGAAGGTCTGCCCCCCACCACCGCCACCATCTGCTTAATCATGACGTACCCAACCGTCGTCTTATGGACGCAGCTCTCAGCCGTCTACTCCCAGGTACTCGTACCAGATTTGAAAAAAGTACCTCCAACACACTGGACTAGGAATCATTGTCATCGCAGGTTTTACGGGTACCGGAAAGACAGAGACAATGGCCATCGCCACACTGGTGTACCTCGCGCAACCAGATACGACGTATATCTGGGCCGCCGCACCTACTCATGTCGCAACCAGCAACTTTGCAGCTCGGTTGGTTGTTCGGCCTTGGTTATGATGTCCATACCCTCTGCCGTCGTCGACATGTACGTGTATCTCGTCATGTCTCGGCTGTCCGCGTGGTAGCCTCACATGGCAGATAGTACCTTAAAATAACACCGTGAAGCTGCTGGTAATAATCCTCATTCGGTCAGTACCTTTTTTGTTTGTTAGCGTGCAACTTGAAAGCTGCGAAAATGGGGAAAAAACATACCTCGTTGTCCTGTGGTTAGCGTCTTAGGTGCTTCTTACTATCTCACTCTTATATGCCTCAGACGCCTTTTCGGAAACGGAAAAGGCCTGTTGAAGCACTGAAAATGCCTTTTGGGGGGATTTCCCAAACTTCAGTATCTCCCCACGACGCGGATGAGCTCCCTTCGGACGTGAGCGATAAGAACGGTGTTCTCCTTGCCCTCACATATCAGATGAAGAGCTCGCCCCGCTATGAAAGCAAATCCGACACCAGCCCAGCCCGTCAATGCACCGCCGCGCCGCCCAGCAGAATGGCATTTCCGTCTATCGTTACGACGGGGTATAGCAGCGGTGCTAGATCACAGCACCAGCCCAAATCACCAACAAAAAAGTCAGATCAAATCACTATACTACACCACCACACCAAAACACACAAGGGTACAATCGGCAAGACGTTATTAATTCAACACTATGGCATCACTCCCTACATTATTCTAATAATCCCGCTCCTCGTTGTTTTGGCGACCATAGCCGGAGGTGCGCTCCGAGTCGTCACCCCCATAGCCGCTCTGGCCATCACGGCGGGGCTTGTTCTCCTGGTCGTAGGACGACGTGGTGTTCTCGCTATCCTGACCGTAAGAGGGCTTGTTGTCCTCGCTGTCTTGGCCGTAGCCACCGGTCTCGCGGCCGGCACCATACGACGGCTTGTCCTCGTCGTCGTTGTTGCGGCCACCACCATACGAGGGCTTGTCCTCACTGTCCTGTCCATACGATGGCTTGCTGTCCTCACTGTCCTGTCCATAACCGCCGGTCTTGCGGCTAGAGTCGTATGAAGGCTTGTCCTCCTCGTCGTCATTGCGGCCAGCGCCATATGAAGGCTTGTCATCGCTGTCCTGACCGTATGGGGGCTTGCTGTCCTCGCTGTCCTGGCCGTAGCCACCGGTCTTGCGGCCGGAACCATAGGACGGCTTGTCCTCGTCATCATCGTTGCGACCGGCATCATAAGATGGCTTGTCTTCGCTGTCCTGGCCGTAACCACCAGTCTTGCGGCCAGCGCCGGACGAAGGCTTGTTCTCGTTGTCATTGTCGTTATTGTTGCTGCTGCCATAGCTCTCCTCCTTCTCCTGGCGGCCGCCCTTGCCCGAGAAGCCAGAGTAGATCTCCTTGCCGACGGCCGCGGCATCGAACTTGTCACCACTCGACTGGTAGGCCGAGGCCGACTCCTTGGCTACATTGCCGAGCTCGGTATAGTCAACCTTGTTGCCACCGGACTGGTAGCCGTCAAGGGCCTGCTTGGCCGACGAGCCGACGCCGGACCACTGGTTCTCGGACGACTCATTGTCCTTGTTCTGGTTGTCGTTGTCGTTGTCGTTGTTGCCATACTTGCTGGCTGCCTGCTTGATAAAGTCCATGATGGGCGACGGGTAGCGGTGATTAACCGGGGATGACGTGTGAATGGAGTGAAGGTGGTATTGGTGGCGTGATTGGCAGAGAATGGGAATGATGGGAAAGAGGGCACTACTCTCAACCCCAGAAGACAGACAAGCTTTTATACACGACACTCCCTATGGTGCTATTGCGACAATATTGCGACGTAGGTACTATAAACAACCCCTCTTTAGAATCCCAGACAAGCTGAGCGGAGGGTCTGCGCCACGACGGGACGGTGGACACTACGTCACTTGCACGGTGGAGTTGCGATTGGCCAAGTTCTCGATTATTGCGACATCGTAGCTATCCTGTCCACTTAGGTCGGCGACCCGGCGCACGACTCGACTCTCTCCTGTGGTGCGGGCCAGTCGCCGGTCGCCGAGGTTTGTCCAGAGGTGTGGCGGTTTGAGGGACTTTCGCAAGCGCTCGTGTCTTGAATCAGCGAGCTAAGGTATGCGGAGAACGCCGGCCGCTGAAGGTGGGCGTCGCTAGCTGAGAGATCCCGGTCAAGGGATCCTCTAGCTTGCGCAATCTTTCGTCCCAGACGCGCATCTATGTAGAAGCGGAGCTGACTAGTATCGACATCGTGGGGTTCGGGAGGCCGCTTCATATTTGTGTTGGCGGGGATTACCTCGTCACTAACAGTCAAAGCTAACGGTGGGCAAGCCGAGGCTTCCTTTACGCAAAACGGTGCAGTCGTTATTCTCTCATTTTGCCTTTCACGACACGTCCGACCAGTACCCAGTGAGCTCGATAACTAGGTTGATAACCGTGCCGACGGTCCACAGCCCGATCAAACCCCATCCAATCTTGCGGCTCATTACCCACTTGTTGGACGGCACCGCGATCAACAATATGATCAATGTTAGTAGCACGCTAATGGCAGATATCATCAGCGTCCCCCCGACCTGGATCTTGTATGGTTTATAGTGGATCGGCCTCTCGGGATGCTTCAGGTGTCTCTTGTCGGCCGACGAGATGCCCATCCAGGCACCGCCAATGCCCACGCCGAGTAGGATGTTGAGCATCGGCCCCCCGAAACATGCAGCACTGTGTCACCTCGTTAGCATTCGGTGCCTGCAACACTTAGACAGCCAGTGTGACTTACAGCGCCATGACGGGGTATCCGAGGCGAGCAACGGTGACATCAGCCACCAAGTCGCCCAACGAATTCCCGACTGCAAAGATTGTGAGACCGAGAATGGCCTCCGAGATGCCCAGTATCACACCAAATGCCTTGAGGACTCCAACCACCTCTCCCGCAATAGTTGATATCCACGCGACGCTGATTACGAAACCAAGGAAGCACAGGACAAAGTGGTACTTTGGCTTTTGGTCTGGGCTTGTCAACAAGAGCAGAGCAGCTAGCAAGCAAAGCGAAAAGACCAGCGAATACAATACCAGTTGCAGCAGCATTCTCCTTGGATTTTCCATGTCGTCGTACGTGTTGGCCCAACCAACGAGAACGACGAAGAAGGGCCCCGTAAACAGCTGCAAAGCCACAAGCCACCTATTCCAACCTGCCACTTCTTCCGTGGAAGCGGTTGTGCGGTCGACTTCAAATGGAGGATTTGGCCTCGCCAGATGTGGAAGTATGTCTATGGATGGCCGATGGCCAGCCTCCGTCGATGG